AGAGAAAATGGAGGAAAAAAATGGTCGCGAGTTGAGCGCTGAAGCCATACCCGAACGGAGGGACAATGACTTGAGCATGAAAATCCGATATGCCGTGGCAGAATTAAATATCCTCTGGCGTAAAATCAATGCAGGCGGTCGGTACTGATTAATTCGCGGGTCCACGGTTCCGCAGATGGCGCGTTGATCGTGGTACACCGGTGTGGCCCGGCGACGATCGTTAAAAAACGTCTGCGCGCATTCAAAAGCGCATAATAACCGGGAAAAAGAGAGCGAACCGACGCCGTGGAATATCGCGGAGAAGCGTGTATCAATTTCGAGAGATGAAAAGTCGAGCAGAGGCGGAAGGTCGGTGGAGTACAAATTACCGTGGGGCAGCTGCCCTCCGTTTGCGATTCCCGTCGACTCGCGTGTATATAACACGAGACGATGCGCGCATGCGCGTTCTCTGTGTACGTTCACTTGCACATCGAGGGGAACTAGGGTTGAAGAGGGAAAACAAACCAACGCGAAAGGGAAAAATAAATGCGCGGAGGTAAGACGAGTACAAGAGGGAAAAAGAAGGGAGGCGAGAATCCTAAGCGAAAGAGAGATAACCTAGCAAAGTAATTTTCTTCAGATGAGAAGAGCCCCCGAGAGAAATAGACTCTTCGATAAAGCTGCAGAAAACAGTCTAGGAAAAATCGGACTAGGGAAAACATTGACCGAACATTGTGGGACGATGTGGAAAATACGAAACCTGAAGAAAAAGGGCCAGAGCACTCTACATAGGAGGAGGAAGAAACAGATTGAAAGAGAAAAAGATGAGATGAGAAGAAACGAGAATGTAAAAGAGAAGCCAGAGAGGGAATCAGGGAGTGGTACAACAGCGAACCGTCAAGGAGGGGGGCATGCGTGGGGTTAGAGAGGGAGAGGGAGATAGAGGGAGCATGAAAAACGAGAAAGAGCGAGAACAAGACAAAGTCGAGCGAAGCGGGGAGAGAAGGGGAGGAGAAGGATAAACGGAGGGTGAATGGGTGGGTGGAAGGGAGAAGAAACATGCCAGAGGACGATGAACTCTGGCGGTAGGCAGCTTCCGTCGCCTGGCAACGTTCTCCTCCCTTTTCCTCCTCCTCTCCCTGAGGCTCCAAGCCGTTATGTCGTGGTATCGTACGTAGGCAGTCCTCGTCATGGACGTAGTAGTCGTGTCATCGTCTTCGTCAGTGACGATCATGGTAGTCGTTGTTGTATTTTCACGTAGTCGTGGCTCGCAGCTTGCGCTGCGTATTGATCGTACGGAATGCTGCTGCTAGCTGCTGCTGGTTGCTGGCTGCTCCAGCGCTGGCTAACAGTGAGCTTTAGCCACAGCCCTACACCAAGGACCAATAGGACCACCACTTTCTCTCTCTCTCTCTCTCTTGACTTTCTACTCGGCTTATACCCACCCATTATGGTTGCCCAAAAATGAAAGTAAATGCAGTAAACTATCGTTACTGTATCGTTTTAGACGATAGAAAAAACTTCTGGTTGGTTAATTTGATAGGTGCGGTAGTTGGATGATTATAGAAAAACATAGGGATGTGATAATGAATGTTCTTTCATACTGTTTCATTTCTTGAAACCGTAGAAGAATAAAATAACGATTTGTATTTAGAAGAGAAAATGTGCCCAAGTTGAAATTGGAAAATGTTACAGACGTTAAAATAATACAAAATACTATAATACTTAAATGCAGAAGATTCACATAGAGATGATAATGATACAAAGATCTAAATATATAGGTAAAATGCATGAGAAAATTCTGGCCATAATTTTATACGATATCGTTCACATACTCAAAATCCATTAGCCATGCATCACATGTGCTACATGTGTGCAAAATGTGAACATCAAATCAATGACCCTACCGTGCCTTCTCCCCATCAAACGTCGAACCTTCGTCTAATTATATCGCAATATATCTCAAAATAACCCAACTTCATCATCAGCTAACTACACCTATCACTTGTACCAATACTATGCTCTTACTTTACCATATATAAAATAGGAAAGCGACATGTTTCACAACATAACCATATTTCTTCCACTAGACACGAGGCATACAAATGAGGCACAGATACATCTAACTCATGAGTAAGTGTAATTTATATATCTCTATCATTTTCTATATGTATTAATTCTACTACTTTAATCCTTCACTATAACCAAAATCATAACATTAATATATTACTGTATTTTCCAGCACGACAATAATACATTGGCTTCGAAAAGGATTAAGAGTAATGTATGGAGCATACAAAGGGGACATAAATACGTCCACAACATTTCTATTGTTCGCCAATTGCAAGAGGAAAGCGCGCGTTCACCGACACCTACACGTCGTGCAGAAATGTCGGACGGCTATCAATGGTTAGAACACGTCGTCTCGATGAAAATACCAGCGAGAGGTGAATGGTTCGCGGCACGTGAAAATAGTTTCACTACACAAGGCTATGTCGTAAAGTCGGCCGCTACCGCGAAGAACCGATCGAGCCGAAAATGAAAGCAAACGCGAGCCGTGACTGCCAAGTCCAACGAACCTGCCACTTGGCAGCCGACGTCCGTGCTCAAGAGTGTCTTTAATACACTGAACCCGCTAAACCTAAATCCATTTTAACCGCGGAGTGTCGGTGCCCGATGTTGGCACAGAAAACTGTCACTGGCATCCATGAAATTGCCAGTGATCCGTTCGACACGGTTACCGATGAGTCAGCCGATTTTCTTGAATGAAGTTTCTTTCTTACCCCGTGTTAACGAGACTCGTTGAATTAGGGGATGGATAGGACGATTCCAATCGGTCGTCAAACACATACACGAAATTATTATTTGATGTACAGGGATGAGTCACGTATATGACTCACGAGGGAATAGGTGCACAGGGTGTAATTCATGCATGAGCACCGTTGCAACTAAGTTTACAAAGAGTCTCGCAGTAATTTATAGCCACGTAATACGTGAAGAACTACTTTGAGAGAATGACAGCGAAGGAAGTTGTAAAGCAGGATATGTTATTGATAGTTTATAGTTGCAGGTCGTTAAATGTGGCACGAGGTTTGTAGAAGGAAAGTGTCAAAACATGAGGAGCGAAGAAGACATTTTGTATAGCTGAACGTGTCCTACTTTTCTGTAACACGTTTTTTTGCACGCTCTTTTAAAATTAAATTAATGGCTACAATCTTATTGTAATTTTATATAATGCACTTGTAATCTTATCCACCAGAATCTCTTTTTTGCTAATGAAACTGGCGACTAATGAAACGTAATATAATATACAGCGTTATAAGGATTCCTAGTATCACATTATCAATTCTATACTAGTACCATTTTTCAGAACAAGAGAAACATGCATCATAGAGCTTCTAGTACCACTTTTAATCTTATCCAAATACACAAAATTTAATATCATGTAGCAACAAAAATCTCTACATATATAAATTTACGAAGAAAATAACATTTAATATAGTCAAACGAGATTTATAGAAATAATTCTCTACCTGCTATTATTAACGAATACTAACTATAAACCAAGAAAAAGTACTTTTCCATCTCTGTACCTTGTTGATACACAAGAATTCCTATACTCCACCAAACAAACCACCAAGTTAACCCAAAGAGGCGGTTCTCATCGTTAAGCATCCACTTTTTCCAAGAAATACAGCTTCAAGAAAAACGGAAACGTGAAATTGCGCAGCGTATCTGACAATGGGTCTCTTCGTTGACGATTGTCGCGGAAAATATCTCAGAATACAGAAAGTAGGAAGAAGTTCCTTCTTTCTTTTTTTTCTTTTTTCCTTTTTTTTTGTGTATCCCTGAAACAATGGGCAATTTGTTGCGTAAAATGGCCGTAGCTCGGTCACTTTGATGCGCTTCGACCTTTCGAGACCGCCGGTGTACCTACCACTGTAATGGAGAGGACTGAAAGTGGTCCCCATTCTCTAACTCGTACACACCAGGCTGGCCGGCCTATCTAACCGTTAACAAATGACCCTATCGCTCGATTACGTCCACCAGTTGGCCAGAAAGAGAGAAGGATATCGAGGGGTTATAAAAGAGAAACAGAGACTTTCTGGACGTGACAGAATCGTGGTACCCCATAAATATTCCTAATGGGCGCCCTGTCGCGATGTTCAGAAGCTGTAAAACGAGTGGGTCCTTATATTCTGTTCGTGGTCTTCACCGACGATTAGCTTCGGGGGATTCGAAGAGGCAGAACCCGATATAGAGCGGGGCAAGGCAAGAGAAGAAAAGTTTGTCATTTTGATGCCACTGTGAGGAGTTTATGTCTTTTCTGATAGATTTTCTTTGCGGATTTGGAAATACAAAGATTCACAGAGTATTTGTGTTTCTAATAATGGGTAGAGTATGAAGGTTTATGCATCTGTGGAAAATTTAAAAATAAGATTCACAGAATGATTGTGCATACGATAAAACAGGGACGAAATACTAAAAGGCGGATTAATAATTTACTAAAATTGATCATAAGGCGAAATACGCTGATTCAAAGGCCAAGTCAATTTCAATCCAATTTCAACTCTCCATTACCTTAAAACGGTACTTCGGAACATATAAAACGACCGAGATACAAAGTATTAAACGGGAGAACTAAAACTATCCAGAAAGTACGTATCTAGCAATGAGCGAGATAAATCGAAGGAGACTTGGTATAAAATAATTCTCTTTTCTCCTCATTTTTCATCGTTTAATTCGCTCTGCGTTACTCGTCTAAATTCCTCTCCATCGAACCATTTTATAACTCACACGATGACCTACTTGAAAGGTAATGCAAAATGTATCGTTTTCCATAAATTAGAAATCCTCGTTTCCCCGGTAGAATTTCATAGGTAGATTGTGAATGAAGGAGAACCTCGTGAATCTCGAGCCTGCACTTACGTGCCAATTACTATCCGTGGCAACTGATGGAATGGCAGAAGGAAATCCTACGTAATGCGTGGTCCAATGTGGGATGCAGCAGTCTGCATCACTTACGACGAATCTGAAAAGCCTATGAGAAGAAATTACTCGGAAGAAGATTGCAGTAGCTGCATAACGCCTAATCTTCTGCTCGTTGTCTGCCCCCTGCCTCGAAATTCCGATCCATAATCATACAATTAAATTTTAACGGACAGCGTGCACCATACGTGCTTGCAGAACTGTATCTGACGCTCTACATTGTCTGACTGGCACAAGAGATACAGTACAACAGATGCACGACATTATAGTCGATTATAATCGTTTCAATTATTGAAGTTGCAAACATTGCACTTGTCTTTAGACAGATGTTTTATTGATTTATTTTATGTTTTCTCTTCATTTGATTTTCCGATTGAAATGTATCCAAGCAAGTTGTATACATATATATATATATATATATCCTTCAAGGTGCGACAAGACCGTAGATTAAGTCTAAAAGATTCACAAACACGCGTAGCGTATCGTGCATTTTTCTTGGCACGTTTAGTTCGTAATTTTCTAGTTAAAATTTAGTGTTTAACATTTTATGAAATATACGAGGATTTTCAAATCGTAAAAAGTTGGATTTTTTGTTCCATTAAACTTTCTTTTGATATTTTAACAGCATTTTTGCAAATTCTTACATTTTCTAAGTATAATGCTAAAAGATCTTTATTCAATTTTACATTACATTACATTTGTCTACTATCTTCTATTTTCTTATTTAAAGGAAATTGTATTTTCTAATCTGAAAATTCCTATATTTTGGTACATTGAACATTCTTCATTTAAAATATGTATTCTTTACGTACTGGGACAAAAGGCTAATTAAAACGTGGGTTTTAAACCTACGCCTGAAAGTTTCATTAATTATATATTCCATCTAACGAAACTAATCGTGAGCAATCCATTGAATGAATTAAATTTCCCAGCGTAATGACGAAAACTTTTTGTGTTTTAACGACTAGTATTTAATTTTCTGTTCCGGACAATTTTTTATTTGACCCACATTGACCTTAGTTTAAACATTAAAAGGGTTAAGGATCCTTTTACCATTACAAGATTGCAGCGTTAATTATGGAGAACAACGGTTTCTTCATAGCACGAACGTGTATAATGAAGATCCCCGGCTACATTCATTTCGAAACGCCTACTTAACGAACGACAAACAGTTTTGACTGGTGGAAGTAGGAAATTATGAGAATCTTTTTAAAAGATTGCTTCAATGGCAGGCCTGCAATTAACATTCGCCAAGCTATATATTTACAAACTAACTGAATACTAACTTCTACCTTTCACGATATATTACGGCTAACCAGATAAGTCTAACACTTGTATGTATATCGATTAATTATTAATTACTGCTACGTAAACGTCCGACGTATTTGTATGTATGAACGTGACAATACAATTCTTACGTAATCATTCATATATGAAAATGAAGTTCCTGCTTTTCAAATTTAAAATATGAAAATAAATATCGATTATACTTAAGCTTTTTTTAATTGGAATTTTACGTTGGAACGCTAGTGTTTTCAAATTCCTGATGGTAATTTTAAGAAATACAATATTGCAAATATCTCTCATATAAATCTGACATTATCTAAATAAATAGGATAAGAAAAAAGTGTTCGATTCTCTGTCTTCTAATTCCAAGATCAAATTTCTTTCCTCCAAACCAAGATCTTTTTTTTAAAATCCATAGTCTTAAGCATGTAAAGACCAAAGTCCCTCAAGGTCCGAAAATACAAATGAGGTATCGTTAAACGAATAAATAATAAATATAAAATCCAACGTATGACAGAGAAAAAACAATATTCCAATTTTTTCGTTACCCCATCGAAACGTGAAAACAAATCACCCCGTAGCTTTTTTACCTATTTTGATTTAACTGACGATTTTCGATTACGCATTTGGAACAGGTCCACGTATAGAGGATAAAATAAATAAAAATGTAGCGGTATGCGACGGGACACCGGTTGAGAACGGAGAACGAGTCGGCCGGAGCGAGTCGACTCTAGAACTCGGTAGAGAGGTCGGTGGCCGGCCTACCTCAACGTATCGACACTCGATGCCGCACATGTCGGCCAGCAGTTCAACACGTGTGTGTCCAGATAGTTCACCTTGTTCGCCGCGTTTCCGCGTCAACGTGCACCAGCACCGTCGTTTCACGGGCTACCGCCTCTTTAGCGTTGTGTGAAACGACAACGCTTACAGACAGATATGAGATTCCACCGTGTATACTTAGATTATACGTAAATACGTACATACAGTGGCTAGAAAAAGTATTTGTATATCGTTGTATTTATCATAACATTTATACGCTAATTAAATAAGTTTGTCATTTGGTAGCAAATAGTACTTTCATACGACTGAGAAAAATCTGATAATATCGAAATGAAATATAGATTCTGGTAACAAAAAAAAAAAAAAAAACGCATGGTTAGGAAAGAAAGATAAATGTCAATTCTTTTTATAGCTACTTAATATAGTAAATAGTATGCCCGACTGGGGAGATACGCTCCGTGGGAGACCAATTGTGAATACATCGAGGGCAATTAGAAAATTATATCGCATTCGTCGCTTTCATCGTTGATACAGTAAAACAAAATCGCCGTTGCTTTTTGTGTTAGCAGATGACTTTTTATGTAACATTCTTACGTGTTTGTTTTCTGATTATTTATTTTATTTTCTTATATCCTATGAACGCTTTAAGAATATTTTTAAATTTAAATGTAAATGTTCCGTGATATATCAGAATATAAATATTTATATTATAAAAATTATGGAACGCACAAGACACACGTGTTAATATTATCAAACCGTTACTGGATTATATAATTATACATCGCTGCTTTAACATGAATCATACCGACAATAAGAAAGGAAAAATACTCCAGCCCATCGAACAGATAAAGATCCTCGTTTTTTCATCATATACAGAATTATCTTGAAATGACTATTTCTATGGCCGCGTTCCGATAGATCGTCGGCGATCGAACAATGAACTTCCTTCATTGCCGCCTGTGAGACGTCTTACGAAACGTCCAAGATAATTCTTCCTTGATATCTGGACAATAGAACAGACTCGAAGGAAGCGTATTCTCGTCTCAGGCCTGCCAAGCCATCATCCACTCGATGCGATTACGGCATCACGTATCCTTGATAAGGGTTACCAACGTCGAACGAAACACACTAAGGGACACGAGTTCTTTCCATGTTCTTGAGATACCGAATAGATAGCGCTTACGTGACATGGAGATTTACGAATAAGACTTTCCAATGAATTCTTGCGACCATGTGAAGGTTCTTTTCTTCTCAGAAGTTTTGTCATTG